ACTTTCGCAATAATTTTATAAAATTGACATATCTAAATAATAATCATAATGAAACTAAGAAAATTTAATGAAAGTTACTAATTTAATAGAATTGAAATTAATAATCTTGTAACGATGATAGGTTGTTTTGTCTGCCCTCTTAGTGTTTGTTGTTTATGTGTACTTAACCTAATTACAAAATTCCCAATTTTAATGAGGCTATATAATATTAATAATTTTTAATTTATTTAAAAAATTAAAAATAGTTACGAAGTCATACGTAACAGTCACCATTTGAAGAGCAATAATTCCTACTTAATTTCTGAAATTAATAAAAAAATTTAGTCGAAAATTGTTCGAGTTATGAATTTTTTTATATACTATTTCAAATTTTTCGGTTTTTTGATACGGGCGGGTGAGAACGCTGGTTATTAATTTTTTTTAATCGCAATGGTCACATTTTGAAGAGCAATAATCCGTCTTTAACTTCTGACCAAGAAAAAAAATTTGGTCAAAAATTGTTCGAATTATTAATTTTTTTTTACTTTTTCTGAATTTTCAGTTTTCTGATAAAGGAAGTAGGATCACTGACTATTAAAAGTTTATTAAAAAAATTCACAATGGTATAAAATTTTAAAAAGCAATAATCCTTCTTTAATTTCTGACAAAGAAAAAAAAATTTGGTAGAAAATTATTCGTGTTATTAATTTTTTTTTGACTTTTTTCGAAACCAAATATTTCGAATAAAATTTTTTTTCTTGGTCAGAAATTAAATAGGGATTATTGCTCTTTAAATTGTGCCCATTACGAATTCTTTTTATAAATTTTTAATAGTCAGTGATCCTACTTCCTTTATCAGAAAACTGAAAATTCAAAAAAAGTAAAAAAAGAATTCATAACTCGAACAATTTTTAACCAAATTTTTTTTCTTGGTCAGAAATTAAAGACGGATTATTGCTCTTCAAATTGTGATCATTAGAATTTTTTTATAAATTTCACATAGCCTGCATTCCCACCTGCCTTATCAAATAATCGAAAAATGAGAAAAAGTCAAAAAAAAATTCATAACTGGAACAATTTTTGACCAAATTTTTTTTTCCTTTTTCTGAAATTAAGAAGGGATCTGCTTTTCTAATTATGACCATTGCAAATTTTTTTAAATAAACTTTTGATAGCCAGCGATCCTACCCGCTCATATTAGACAAACCGAAAATTTTGGGAAAGTTAAAAAAAAATTCATAACTCGAAGAATTTTCGACCAAATTTTTTTTTCAATGCCAGAATTTAAGGAGGAATTATTGCTCTTCAAATGGTGATCATTGCAAATTTTTTTAAATAAACTTTTAATAGCCAGCGTTCTCACCCGCCCGTTTCAGAAAACCGAAAAATGTGAAAAAGTAAAAAAAAAATTCGTAACTGAAACAATTTTCGACCAAATTTTTTTTTCTTTATCAGAAATTGAAGAGGGATTATTGCTTTTTAAATTGTGACTATTGCGATTTTTTAAATAAACTTTTAATAGCCAGTGTTCCCACCCACCAGTATCAGAAAACTAAAAAATGTGAAAATTCCAAAAAAAAAATTAATATTTCGATAAAATTCAAATCGGAGCTAATCTAGCAAAATTGAAATAGGTTTTTGTTTGTTTCGATAAGTACTTTCAGAAACTAAAATCAAAAGTTAGTACACATATGATGTGTTGCACTGTGATAATTAACGATAAATAATAAATATATCGAAACTATGTAAAATATTAAAAATAGTTGAAAAAAACTGTCGGGAAAAAAATATTAAAAGGATTTAAAAGCGTACTTACGCCTCCTAAAAAGCTTTTACAAGTTTTTGAAATTTTAATGGTTAAAGTTTGGAAGTGAAATATATTTTTTTGTTTTTCTTTTTTTTTATAAGTAACCGGAAGTACATATCGTGACCCTAGAAATTGCATTTGAGATTTGATATAACTCGGTGAATGTATATATATATATATATTGTTCTCCTTTTTTATTGTTGGGTACATTCGATTTTTTTCTTCCTTTTTTTGACTTTTTAAATCGATACCCGGAAATCAAGGAAACTCGTTTATTTTTTTACTCCAGGGATTTTGCATAGATTTAGAATTTTAGAGAACTGTGAGGTGTAAATTATTCATGCACATGTGACTCAAATGCAATTTGTTTCTGCACCAATTTCGTGTGTGTGCGTATGTGTGAGTGTATGACACTCAAAAACACGAATGTATATTGTGAATTTGCATAAAATTTCTTGAAAATAAATTTTACATAAAATTTCTCATTGAACTAGAAAAAATATATAATAATATAACAAAATAGAAATAAAAAATAGAAACATTTTATAAATTATAACAGAAAAAATGTATACTAAAATTATTAAAAAAATAGGGAGAAAAGTAGCAAGGAAAATATTATATATATTACAAAAATAACAAAAAAGGTGAACAAAATGATTGAAGTAAATGTAGATTTGAATAGTTATTGTATTGTTCTATTTTATAAAAACAATTTAAATTTTTCAATTCCTTGAACGTTAACGAGATTTAAGTTGATTGGATAAAATCTAATTTATATGGGAATAAATTAATGCGTCGTGTCTGGCAAAATTATGCCGCGAGAGAGAATGAAAGTGATAGTGAATAGTTGTGAATTTAAATATTCTATGTATATCACATCTGTCATATAATAAATAATACAATCATAAAATAATAATAATTTGTATAATATAGTTATATTATATAATAAATATTCCATGAATGTTGATTTTGACATTTTTTAAATAAACTTTTGCCGACAAAATAAAATACAGAATTTTATTTGGACGTTTCAATCGATAAAACTATCACTATAAGGTTTAATGCGAGTTGACTCTCTTTTAGAAATTTATATTTTCGACATATATAATTGAGACATATAATAATCAATATGTGGGCAATTCCACGTGAGATTTTAGATTTTAGTCGACCTCTTAAAATCGGCCAAAAATATTTTTTTTCTATTCTGTATTGAAGAAAAACAGATACGTATTTTTTATTTTTGTTTAATTGTTCAAATTTTCGAGTTACGAAATTTTGGACTTTTAATTGTAGACCTATATTCAGTAGCTTATAAGTCCAAAAATATTGAGTTTAAGAAAAAGTTGGCAAGGATTGAAAGTTTTAGTTTTCTTTCGACTTTTAAGAAATGTAAACAAAAAATTTTTTTTTTATAAACAAATTAATTTTTTTTAACTTTAGGCAGGATTTTTTTTTATTTTTTTTAAATTTATTTATACCTTATAGTATAGAGAAGATTGCTTAAATAGTCCCGAAATGGGCCTGATGTGTTAAATGAGTTTTAAAACATTTTCAAAAATCATTTGCAAGCATCACAGTGGGATTTCTTTTACAATTAACTTTTTAAAACTGTCTACAGCGTAGACCCTTTAATTTAAGGGGTTACACCACTTTGACCCGTTCAAAACATAAGCTTTTTCAACAATTTTTATTGAAGAATAGAAATTTTTTTAGGAAAATTAAATTACAGTAGGGTATTGTACTACTCTTGAACTACAAAAAAATATATATAAATTTCTTTTTTTTTAAATTGTCGGTTTGACAGATGATATGTTAAAGTGCTTTAAAAATGTATCGACATACGGTGGACACTATAACTCGGTCCAGAATTAAGCTAGACCAAAAAGTAGAAATGCTTTATTTTCTGTAGCTCAAAATCTAGCGAAATACGTATCCGTTTTAAAAAAAATTTATTTTTCGCAAAATTGCATCGATTTGAAGGAAAAAGTCCATATTTTTGCCTAAATTTCATAATTTAAAGTTGTCTAGAAAATTTAAATATTAATATTTCGAAAAATTCGTACGTATTTCGCTAGATATTTATATCACAAACAAAATAAAAAAAGAATTAAGAGAATCGATTGAAAATTGTGGCAGCTAGAGTGTCCACCGATTTTTCCAATACAGTTTTGAGAAAAACGAGTTTAAAGTTTTCATTACAATGTAAACGTTAGCGCGCGACCCTGCTTGAACAGTTCGAAAATTGTCTTTTTACTTAAGATATCGATATATAACTAATGACATATCATTTTGGTGTCCACAAAGAGTATTTTAAGCAAAAAAAATTTTTTTCAATTTTTTGAAAATTTCAAAGTGGTGTAACCCCTTAAAACAAAGAACACTCAAAACAGATTAAAAATTATACGCTGTAGACAGTTTTAAAAAGTTAATTGTAAAAAAATCCCACTGTGATGCTTGCAAGTGATTTTTGAAAATGTTTTAAAACTCATTTAACACATCAGGCCCATTTGTGTCACAAAAATCATCGTAAACAAATTGGCTGCCTTTATTCCCGTGTTACTTACCATATTTTTTATTCCTATAATGCACAAAAGTGGCGATTTCAGATAGCAGACGACAGGGAGTAAAAGTCATTCACTTGTTCGACTTGTATGAAAATGGCGGCCTTTTTTACCATGGGCAAAAAATAGTACATTTCGTAACAAGTGTGAACTGATGTAGTTTTTGAAACGAGCGCAATGTTTTTGGAACGAGCTGTAGGCGAGGCGCCGAGCCGGAAGCGAGTTCCAAAAACTGGCGCGAGTTTCAAAAATCAGTTCAAAGGAGTTACGAACGATACTTTTCATAATGAAGTCATAAAAAAGGGAAATGTTACAAAACATTGCCACCAATATACTATGAAGGCCTCATAAAGTTTCTGTCGCGCGGGGTCCAGGGGCGGAGCCCCGCTCGGGGGGTTCGGGGGGGCAAAGCCCCCCGACCGCAAAAAACCAACTTAAAAGAATAATAATTTTCGACATTTCAAAGAACGGCATTTCATAATACGTAAAGCCACCGGACGCGTCGGGGGGCGAAGCCCCCCGAAACCTAGTCGTGTATTTAGACGAATCAATAAAAATAATATAAATGTTATGAAAAAATAAAATGTTATGTACTTGTATTATAATCATCAAACTTTATTTATTATTAAAATTAAATATAATTTGTTTTTACAATAATTTTTTAATTATTAATTAAAGCTTTAACGTTTGGTAATATTAATTGGCAAATCAGTCTTCATCTTAATATTACACATCACAATTTTTAAAACTTAAATTTAACTTTAATACTGTAAACAAAAAATGTTACTTATTATAAGTAATAGTAACATTGGTACAATTTTCAATCACAATTTTTCCTGGCGAAGGATTGTTTACTCCCAGATTAAAGTTTTCAGAATTAGAAATGCGAAGTTTTTTCGAGGGAGCAGTATTCTCAGAATTATTATCATTTTGACCACCAATTATGGCATTGGAAATTCTCTTAGCAGTCTGTTTTTTATACTCTGTGGAATCTTCTACATATCCTTGAGCCACTCCTGCGGATTTCCACCCTCCAAGGCGCTGCAAATCCATTGTAGAAACTCCTGTATCTGCATAAATTGTAGCAGATGTTCTCCTAAACGAATGCCCTGTATATTCTCCTGCATTCTCTAACTTTAAAAATTGTGCAATTAATTTAGGAATTTTTCCTACAGTATTAATTCCAATCACTTGTACACTGCATTTTCCATTGTGATACTGCAGGAAAAAATTTTCTCTCGGTACGTTTAAAGGACGAAGGGCTATATATTTCTCAATGACTGGTACAAATTTAGGATCAACAACAAATCGCCTGGGAACATTGTTCTTTGTATCAGGGATGATCACTTCGAGAAGCTCTCCTTGTTTTTTTATGTCACCCATTTTAATTGAATAAATTTCTTGCTTCCGGCAACATCCACTGAGACCAAAAATCAGAACAACCTGTAAATCATATTACACTATTTTTAATATTGATTTTTATGGTATTTGATTAACTACATATTATTATTTTTATTTCTTTTATATATAAATTGGTGTTTATTATCATATTATAAATTATTTCATATTTATTACTGACTTTTTACAATTTATAAACTATATTTATTTTGTTTTTTATTTAATTTTTATTTATTTATTATTATACTATTTAATATTTATTATTTACTATTTACAATTTATAAATTATATTTATGTTATTTCATTTTACTTTTATTTTTTATATTTATTAATTATTTTATATTTATTTTTTTTCAGAATTTATTATATTTATTTCTTAAAGTAATAGTGAATTTTCTTTACCTTTGCTGCTAGATACATTTCATCTGGCGCAGTTTCCAAAAATAAGTTGATTTCAGCAGTAGAGAAAACTTTTGCTTTTTTCGATTTGTAGCCTCGAGAGTTTTGACTGAGTAGTGCAGATAATTCCTTATAATTATGAATTGAAATTTTTTTGTTAATTTGAATCGTACTTTTTAATTTGGAATAAATTGACCAAATGGTGGATGGTTTGTAATTTTTAATTAAATCCTTGAAATAAACCTTCAAACAATTTTCCGATGTGATTGCGTTGTTTGACTCTTTCCACTGAACGAACTTTTTGTACGCGTCTTCGTATGTGTTTTTCGATTTCTTAGGTAATAAATCGCTGCTCATTTCCTCTGCTTCTTTTCGAATTTCCGGCGGCGTGCAACATTCACTGTCGCTACTTTCCATTTTCTAATGATACAAATTTAATATTTAGTTTAATTGTGACAGAATAGAGGTTATGTTTTTTATTTCAAGTTCAAATTATCATCATCATGGTGAATTTTTCGTATATGAAACTTAATTTAAGCAAAAAACTTTATTTACAATGCACATAATGACCACGATGTAAGATTGTTGAAATTAAAGATATAAATTTTATACTTACTATTGTCAATATAACCTGGAGTAGATGAAAAACGTTTCTTTCGATTGAGTTTCGCGTTAATGGTAATCGAGAAGGTTACGTATTCAAGCTTCGTTTAGCTACAGTTCATTTCAAAAACATTGACTATGTTCTGTTGGTAAAACAGTGATGTTAAAAAGTAGACGAGAATGTGGAACATGCACAAACAAGGCTCTTTTTTGAACTCTGACGTCACACAGTGCTACTAGAGTCACTTTTAAGAACCATTCGTAAAAAAACAATTTTCTGCTTATCGACGGAGGGACGAATCACGCGTTTTTTATGACTCAGTTATGAAAAAGCATGGGACCAGCTGCTTTTTTGCCCTTGGGGAAAAACAGGTCGCCATTTTCATACGGTCGAACAAATGAACGACTTTACTCCCTGTCGTCAGCTATCTAAAAGCGCCATTTTTGTGCATGTGGGATAGAAAAAATTGTTTGTTTACATTTCTTAAAAGTCGAAAGAAAACTAAAACTTTCATTCCTTGACAACTTTTCCCTAAACTCAATATTTTCGGACTTCTAAGCTACTGAATATAGGTCTACAATTAAAAGTCCAAAATTTCGAAAATTCATAACTCGAAAATTTGGACAATTAAACAAAAATAAAAAAATACGTATCTGTTTTTTTTCGATACAGAATAGAAAAAAAATATTTTTGGCCGATTTTAAGAGGTCGACTAAAATTTCATGTGGAATTGTCCATATATATATATGGGCAATTCCACGCAAGATTTACCTATGACCTTGAGAATTCGGTTAAACATATTTTTTTCTCAATCTATATGGAAAAAAAAGAAATACGTGTTTTTTTATTTTTGTTTAATCGCCCAAATTTTCGAGTTATGAATTTTCGAAATTTTGGATTTGTAACTGTAGACATATTTTCAGTAGCTTATAAGTCTGAAAATATTGAGTTTAGAAAAAACTTGTCAAGGAATGAAAGTTTTAGTTTTCTTTCAACTTTTATGAAATGTAAAAAAAATTTTTTTTTTAATTTTTTTTTATAAACAAATTAATTTTTTTTTAACTTTGGACCCTTTTTTTAAATTTATTTATACCTTATAATATACAGAAAATTTTCCAAAAAGTTTTGGATTGGGCCGACGCGTTTAATGAGTTGTACAAAATTTTCAAAAATCACGTGCAAGGTGCTCGCGTTCTACGAAACGCCTCACAATGGAATTTTTTTACAATTTACTTCTCAACAAATGTCTACAGACTAAAATTTTTAATCGATTCGAGTGTTTTTTGTTTTAAATAAAAGGAGAACAATTTCTGAAGATATCTCTCCATGCAAACCTAAGAATCTTTAATTGTTTATAATTTAAAAAAAAAAAAGTTAACAAATTAATTGTGTAGTTTCCTTTAAAAATGAAAGATTATTTTCTTATTTTGCTACTACACATGTCCTAAATCAGATTCAATTAATATAATATACGACCACCAAATAAATAGTAAAACATAAAATAATTTATCTAAACTGTTATAAAAAATATTAGTTAACAAATAGTTAACTTTGGTTCCTCTCCATAAAAAAACTTTGTTCTTTCATATTCATATTGTACTTTAGGTTCATTTAATGAATACATCTCCCTTTCGTTAAAAAAACAATTTTTAATTGTTATAAACAATAATAGTTAACAAATAATGAACTTTGGTTCCTCTGCACCAAAAAGAATTTTTTTCATAGTTTTCATTCAAGTTTTTTACAAAGAATATATGTTAAAAAATAGTGAACGTATGAAATAGTTTGTTCCATAACTATAAACAATTTAATTTATATAAATTTGTATTAAATGTTTTTTTTCTTTCCTTGTGTTTTTGAAAATTAAAATAAAAAAATTAATTAAAATAAAATAAATGCAATTAATATATATTTTACATTAAAATGTTTATTGTTTTATTTTAACATACATTCTTTGTAATAAACTTGAATGAAAACTGTGAAAAAAATTCTTTTTGGTGCAGAGGAACCAAAGTTCATTATTTGTTAACTATTATTGTTTATAACAATTAAAAATTGTTTTTTAACGAAAGGGAGATGTATTCATTAAATGAACCTAAAGTACAATATGAATATGAAAGAACAAAGTTTTTTTATGGAGAGGAACCAAAGTTAACTATTTTTGTTAGCTAATATTGTTTATAACAGTTTAGATAAATTATTTTATGTTTTACTATTTATTTGGTGGTCGTATATTATATTAATTGAATCTGATTTAGGACATGTGTAGTAGCAAAATAAGAAAATAATCTTTCATTTTTAAAGGAAACTACACAATTAATTTGTTAACTTTTTTTTTTTAAAAAAATTATAAACAATTGAAGATTCTTAGGTTTGCATGGAGAGATATCTTCAGAAATTGTTCTCCTTTTATTTAAAACAAAAAACACTCGAATCGATTAAAAATTTTAGTCTGTAGACATTTTTTGAGAAGTAAATTGTAAAAAAATTCCATTGTGAGGCGTTTCGTAGAACGCGAGCACCTTGCACGTGATTTTTGAAAATTTTGTACAAATCATTAAACGCGTCGGCCCACTCCAAAACTTTTTGGAAAATCTTCTGTATATTATAAGGTATAAATAAATTTAAAAAAAAAAAAGGGTCCAAAGTTAAAAAAAATTAATTTGTTTATAAAAAAAAAATTTTTTTTTAATAAAAAATTAAAAAAAAAAATTTTTTTTTAATAAAAAATTTAAAAAAAAATTTTTTTTTTACATTTCCTAAAAGTTGAAAGAAAACTAAAACTTTCATTCCTTGACAAATTTTTTCTAAACTCAATATTTTCAGACTTATAAGCTACTGAAAATATGTCTACAGTTACAAATCCAAAATTTCGAAAATTCATAACTCGAAAATTTGGGCGATTAAACAAAAATAAAAAAACACGTATTTCTTTTTTTTCCATATAGATTGAGAAAAAAATATGTTTAACCGAATTCTCAAGGTCATAGGTAAATCTTGCGTGGAATTGCCCATATATACATATATACCCAGGTAGAAATTTCAACTCAGTACTGACCACTCACTGGAGAGTTTTTTTGGATACTGGACAGTCTGGCCAGAAAATCTGACAAGTGACTGGTTCAAAATGTAACGCACTCCTTCTGCTGTCACACACAGAAAAACTGAACTCAAAATGAGTCAGCACTGGTCAGATAACGAATAATAATAATTTATGGTAAAAATCACGAAAATCGAAAGTTTTGTAACGTTACAGTTTTCTTGAAACGATCAACACTTTTATATTAATGATACAAAGGTTTTGGGTTAATTAGTAGAGAATCATATTTTAAGATGCACACGGAAAGAAAGAAAGTTGACACAATCAGATATAGGGGGAAGTCCCTTAGTACCTAAGGTTTTCATAAAATAAAATTAAGGGCCGATTTCACCAACACCGATTAAAAGTTTATCAATGATTAAATCCTCAATTAACCAATCAGAAGCCTTTAAACTGTCTTTAATCATTGATTAACTTTTAATCGGAAGTTGGTGAACCTGCGGCTCTTAGACTACTTAAAAAAATATGACTTTATTTATGAATTAATTAACTCTACAATATATAACACCAAAATCAATTAATAAAAATAGAATATTTTGATAAACCTTTTTTTTAAGCTGAATTTAGTTTTGGTATCAAAATATTACAATTTTAAAATTGTCCCCCAGTACCGGACAGTCTAAAACTTTTAATGTTACGCGCAAGATATTATTGAAAAATGATGCAGCGATCACAGACTGTATTTTTGCCGCATTAAATGAAGTGTTTTTGCCAAGGATTTTGTAAAATAAAATCACCAAGTTTAGAAAAATTTATTTTTCTTTTTTTTTAAATTTTACAGTGCATCATATAAAATATACATTCACATTAAGTGTATGATTGGTTCAACGAATATTCCTGTCTAATATATTGAAATAAAACAGAAGTGACTTTACTATTCACTTATTGGCTGAGTTTACCTAGAAAAACCAATTTGTCAACTCAGAGAGAGAGAGAGAGAGAGAGAGAGAGAGAGAGAGAGAGAGAGATCCATGGCTTAAAACTTGGAAAAATTTAGTATAAGTATGGTTATAATTATTCAATGGTTGACTAGTTTCTAACAGATAGTTTTCGGTTTAGTTATGAATAAAAGTTTAAACAAAAATCGATTTTTTATAATTTTACATTATTTTAGAAAAAACTATGGCCATCTCCCCCGGACTTATCTTATTTCTTCCTACGATAACAGAAATTATTCAAATTGTTTTATACTCAGTCGGAAATCTGAATTTTCATTTTTCTCCGTGGTTCATAACGCCAGTCATCTACACGGAAAAAAAAGTACGTGAAAGTTTCATTGACTTGGTACTTGACTTTTGGATACGACACAAAATACTAAAAACAGTCTAGTCATTTTGCATGAGAGTTTCAAAAGCAGTCAATGAAATATTCTAGTACTTGCTTGAGAATTTCATTGACTTTCAAAAAAATTGTAAAATAAAAAAAATAATTTCCACTTGTTCACACAGTTTTTCTGAAATTTACTCATTCATTCACATAATATTTGGATAATTAATCACACAAACAAAGAACAATTATTGTATCACTTTTCGACGTTCGTCAACACTTATGAACTAACCTATAACACACACATATATTCGCGTATAACTTAAATATAAACACACACTTAACACTTAAAAGTACGTATCGAATTGTTCTTATATACCACATGGTGAAATTTTTCACGACTTCTGAGACATGCTATTTCACTGAAAACTGATACTTACATAACATTCTGTTTTGTGAGAAACACAAAATTAAAAATATTTTTTTGAAAGTCAATTCTTGAAGACAAATATATATTAACACTATTTTGTTTTTCATAAAATAATAGTATAATTACATCTGAAATTAACACAAATGAAAACAGACGATCAGCTGGCATTTACCTTGGGTAGAAACGCACACTGCGCATGCTCTACAGAATTTTCAAGCGCAGTCAACTAATCTTTCACGTACTTTATAAAACTAAACAAATGACTTTT